ATGGCGGCCGCCGACGGCGGAATCGAGCAAGTGCAAATGCTCATCGGGGCCGGAACCAACGTCAACGCCCGCACCATGGACGACGAGACCCCGCTGCACCAAGCGGCCAGGGCGGGAGAGGAGGAGATCGCCAAGCTGCTCATCGCTGCTGGCGCGGACGTCACTGCCAGAGACTGCTACGGACAGTCGCCCCTGCATCATTCTGCTAGTCGCGGCCACCTCGGCGTGGTCCAGGTGCTTCTCGACGCCGGCACCGACATGAGCGCCCTCGACAACAAAGGAGACACGGCCGCCCTGCACTCCCTCTCCGACGCGCCGGCCTCGGTCAAGCTCATGATAGAAAAGGGCGCCGACGTTTCCGTCCGAGGCCAGGGCGGCGACACCCTGCTGCATCGAGCGGCCTCGTTCTCGGCGGAGCTGATAGGACTCTTGCTCGGGGCCGGCGCGGACCTCGAGGCGACGGATGACGAAGGAAAAACTCCCCTACACGCCGCAGCTGCGTGGGGGGGCGCCGAACATGTCCGGATCCTGCTTGCAGCCGGGGCTGATATGGGTGCGAGGACCAACGACGGCGAGACGGCGCTGCACTTGACGGCGGGGAGCCCGGATGCCCTGTTCCTGGGGTTTGGACATGAGTCTGATGCCAAGGCTAGGGTTCTCCTTGACGCTGGTATCGATGTGAATGCGAGGACGGTGTCAGGTCAGACAGCTCTTGATCGGGCGAGAGAATGCAATCGCCCGGCGGTTGCAGAGGTGCTTCTTCATGTAGCAAGTGCATAACCTTGATAGACATGGGACTGGTATTACCTTGACCGTTACTGTACCTGACAATCTGGGTTGATGAATAGAAGTTGGCAGAGTCCTTCCTGTTGCTTGATGGATGAGCCGCTTGAATTCGTATGGTGTTGTTACCTGCGCTGAAGAACACAAGCGAATCTCGCAATGATGGCTCACGTTATTTCGATGCAGACCGAAGTTGCGATTGAAGTTTGTGAAATTTGAGAATTATTCGACCTTGGATGAATGGGCACTTCTGCCTGGTGTATTAATATTGGATATTGAATGAACCCCGCCAAATTTATGGCCCCCGGAAAGCGCGGCCAATTAAGCGCGCGAATTCCCCGCCAGCGCAGCTGGAGCTTACCTTGGCCGGGACCTTTATTCGACCAATGTAACCCGCGGTGACAGGGCTCTAGCCGTCCGAGACCTCCGAACCCTTGTGTCCCATGTTTCCGTACGGATACCTTCCATTACCATAGCTTACCTTACTCCGTACCTTCATGTTGACTTTCCTCCCTCCACCTCCCGCCCTGACCAATCCTCACTTCGACCACGTAGCACGCGACACACCCTCCGATTCGAGAGCCGACAAGACCACTCGCATACGAACACCACCAGACAATAGATGCAGACGCCATGAACAGCTCACGAGCGGGGAGACCATCAAAGTCTCCTCTGTTCCTAGTCATCGCCGCAATCCTCATCTTCGCAGTAGCCGTCGAGGCCTCGTACGGCGATCGGTTACCAGAGTTCCGAGAATGCGTCCAAGTTGGTGCCCACCACATACACACACATAGGCGCGCGCGCAATCTTGTGCTCGCGCTCGCAACTAGCAATGCTTGAGAAAACTCTCTCTAGTGTCTCTTGTGACTGACATACTGCTCTGCGCTTCCCTCGCGATCCAGGTCTGCCACGATGAGAACTGCGCTCCTGGCAAAGATGCTACACCAATCCGTACGTTTCTCCCCCTTCCTGCCCGCACACCACAAGGTGACTAAATAGCTAACACATGAACCCCTACCAACAGCCTTCCACCGCCGCCTCCTACTCTGGACCTGCGCCTCCGAATGCGACTACACCTGCCAACACATAATCACAAAAGAGCGCCTTGCCGCCGGCGAGCGCGTGGTCCAGTTCCACGGAAAATGGCCCTTCCCACGCATGCTGGGCATCCAGGAACCCGCCAGCACCCTCTTCAGTCTGGGCAACCTCTGGGCCCACCAGAACGGCTGGCGCAAGCTCCGCGCCGTCATCCCGGCGTCGTACCCGCTGCGGCCCTGGTACGAGTGGCTCGCGGGTGTGGGCATCGCCTCGTGGACGTTCAGCGCAATCTTCCATACGCGCGACTTTGTCGCCACGGAGCAGCTCGACTACTTTGCTGCGGGCGCGAGCGTGCTGTACGGGCTGTACTACACCGTGGTGCGCATCATGCGCCTCGACCGGCCGACGCCGCGCCGGAGGTCGGTCCTGCGCGCGTGGACGCTGCTGTGCGTGCTGCTTTACGCCGGGCACATTGCCTACCTCAAGGGTGTGCGGTGGGATTACACGTACAACATGACGGCCAACGTAATTGTCGGCGTGATTCAGAACCTCATGTGGTTGTGGTTCAGTTTGTACAAGTATAGGCAGTCACGGAGGACATGGGCCATCTGGCCGAGTATCGTCGTCGCGGTCGTCGTTATGGTTATGAGTCTGGAGCTGTTTGACTTCCCACCCGTGTGGGGTGCATTGGATGCGCACAGTTTATGGCACCTTGGCACGATCCCGCCAACGGTACTCATGTACAAGTGAGTCGGCAGTGACACTAAGATTAGCTTGCTGAGTTGACCGCTGACACTTGACTAGCTTCCTGATCAAGGATGCGCAGGACGATATGGCGGGCAGTGAGAGGTTAAAGTCTTGAGCCGTCATATGATTTTCCAACGATCGTTTCAAAGCATGCTGCCTATATGGGCGAACGAAAAAGAACGGAAGTGGAAAGACTGGTGAGCCGAGGGCTGGGTGCCAGCCAGGAAGCTTCAATGAGGTATGAAATGACGGGGCTAGGCCGCAGAGGCAGAGCATCACGCTACAAAAAGACCGTGTAATCTTTAGCAAGTAGATTAGGTTTTTAATGGTCTATTTTGTCATGTTGTCCGGTGTCCAATTAGGCCGGTATAGTAGAGGATAGTATGTAACGAGTATGACGGCTTTCTCTCTGGCAAGCAGTACTAGTATAGTATAGTGTGGGCATCGTTTCCCGTCCACGTAATCTCAAAAAGCTTCCTATACGCAACAGCAGCAATTTCGCGATTTGAGTACAACACAACCCTTGCTCAACTCAGCATCCCGCTGGACGTCTCTTTCTCATACACCAACAATCACAGTCTCGGTCTTGAAGACCTGAATGGCACCATCGCCCCAGATGCCGATGACGGACAGCAGGAAGCCGACTGAGGCGACGGCAGACTGCACGAGCTGCGTCTTCCTAAACCCGTCCACCTCGCCGCGGACCTCCTCGCCGTTGAGCGCCTCCTCCTCGGCCTCAGCAGCCGCAGCCGAAGACTCGTCGCCGCTCGCGCTGCCGGCGCCGTCGCTGTGGGTGTCGCCGAGGACCTCGTAGCTGGCCTCCATGCGCGCCTCCTGGCGAGCGATGCGCGCGGCTTTACGCTTCTGCTCGCGGTCGCGGGCGGCCTGGCGGCGGGCGGCGATGGATTCCTTGGAGGACTCGGGGCTGCTCTTGAGGACGTAGGGGGTGATTTGCTCGGCGAGACCAGAGGTGAGGGTGAGGACGGAGGCGTAGACGAGGTAGGGGTGGCGGAAGGCGCGCGGGGAGAGGAAGAAGGCGAGGAGGAAGGAGGTTGCGGATACGCCGGTGAGGAGGCGGAGTCGGGCGGTCGCGGTTGGGTAGAGGTTCTTGAAGGCGCGGAGGGCGTCGGAGGCGGAGGGGAGGGAGAGGATCGAGGGGACTGTTACGGTTGAGAGGGAGTAGGAGAGGCCCTATTGCGCGCGCGTGTTAGCATGACTTGAATGAAGCATCTCATAATTGGGGTACAGGATGGCTCGGCATCCCGGAGCGTCCTGAATGCGGGGAGTTGGAGGGGGAGGGGTGGATGGGGATGGGATAGTGGCGTCACTGATGATGGTCCGACGGTGAACCGAGCTGCGGTGGGAGGGCGGTGAAACGTACAGTCAGAAGACCGAGGGAAACAGTTCCCACGAACTTCAGAGGAGAGACTCCTTTGGAAGCCATGGTGGCTGGTGCGGAATTCGTGAGGGATTCGGAAAGGAGGCGTTGGAGGTTGGCGGTCGATGGGCGGGAAAGGATGTAAAGTCGAAGTTCGTGAAGGTGTGAGGCACGGGATGTGTCGTCAAACTATCAGTCGGTAGGGTCGCTGCTTGCTGCTGACCGGCAAGGCGGGGCGGGGAGGGGCGGTATAGCGTATCACTCTTTGTTGGACTGGAGTGACTGGGAACCTGATGTGACCTAGGTTCTGGGGGATAGGCAGATGGTTTCCGGCCTGACCAGTTAGGCGTCACAAGATGGTAAGATGTTTTGGGTAGGTGGAAATGGCCGGATTGATTGACTGACGCTGACGCTCATTGACGACGTTTCCCGCCTTGCCGCTTGCCGCTCTTTCGCGCGGGAATAAGTCCTGAAAAAGAGAGGGGCTGTTTCCGTTGCTTGTTTGGCGACCACCTGGTTGGCCGGGACTGCGGGTGGGTACCTGTGGTGGAGTTTCCCGTCAGCGGTATGGGGTACTGTGAGCTTAAATTATCCGTGCGCCTTGCATTAGTCCCGAAGCTGGCCCGAGGTTGCACAAATCACCTTGTCTCGCCTGCACAAAGAGCATAATCACGTCTTGTTATCTCGACTTCATCTTCTTTATCTTTACCGAGCTACCTAGACGATACCATACTGCCAAGCTGGAAAGCTGGAGACAAGACGCCCTTGCTCCGTCGGCCATCGATCTCCCAGAAGCCGGTCATACCCAGTCTTGAGCTTTCTCCTTTCATCTCGTCGACTTAAAACGGGTGTCGTCTCTCCGGAAGTGTCAAGCCATGTCTTTGTGCGAGAAGATGAGAAGAGTGAAATATAAATCCATTTTGTCATTATAGGCTGTGCTTGCTACATTCAGGTTCCTCGACACACCTTCATCCGCCAGCTTCACCAGCTGCTTCAACATCGCCTACCCCGCCGACTCCCCAAGGTTCAGGTTATCTTCGAACCTTGCGCATTTTCAAGCCTCGGTCGCAGGAGGTCTTCTCGCGTGGATCAGGTAGCTGTACCTAGTCAGTCACGTTCGAGATGAGGTAGAGCTGCAGGCAGAAACAAATTCCGGCTCGATCCAATCGGTAGGAGACTTACAGGGGTGTGTAGGCGTGAATTCTTCTATCCTTCAAGTCATTCCTAACTTGAATGAGGAAAACGTTGACTTCCTCCTTTGTCCATTCGAGGGCCCTGGTCAAAGGAGCCATACTCCATCCCTCGATACCCTCAAGGAAATTCTCGAGATTCCACTCGCCAAGCTCCTTGTAGTGGGGATCCTTTGGCCAGTTGTTGAGGGGCCACTTGTAATTGACCATTTCGATATCCACGAACCCGACTTCCTTGAGTATAGGGATCAGGCTGGGGATATTGATGAACGGCCGACCGAAGATGTTGCAGGCCTCCTCGATCTTGTCTACCCACTTGATGAAAGCGTGGTCAGATGTCAACGTCCCATCGTCACAATCTGGACGCATGTGACCTTCAAAAAGCTCGACGTAGCCACCTGGCGTAAGGTTGCTGACAGGTCAGTGTACAGACTCAATGTAAGCGGATCCGGAAATCATTTACTTGAATGTCTTTTGGAAAAACTTTTTCCAATCACCGATGCTTGAGGTCATACCACGAATGTGGATGTAATCAAATGGCTGACTGAAGGTCCAGGGCTCTTCAGCATCATCGACCTCGAACTTGACATTGGGAGGGACGCTATAGTGTCATTAGTATATTACACGTGCGGCAATGCGAGAGGAATCGGATCGTACAATGCCGTGGGGACTGGTGTGAGATCTATTCCGAGCACCTATTGCAAAACTTAGCGCTTCTTGCATGGAATTGGTGCTGGTGTCCTTACCTCGGCCTCGGGGTGTTCATCCCCGAAGTCAATGGCCCACAACCCGGTTCCAGTTCCAATGTCAAGCACACGCTGGGCTTTGTTGTTCTCATTCGGGGGAGCAAGACCCAACTTGTAGTCGAGCGTGAGTAGATACAGGTTGTGCTGAAGATCTGTAAAGGACATGAGATGATGCGGAAGAAGAAACGTGTAAGGGTGAGGTACCCAGCCTATCACTCTCCTTCTCATCATTCGGATAGTTGTATTCTGTATTCATTAGTGTCGCAAAAATCACGTGGCTAATTCATCGACTTACTGCCTTCCTTGTACTTGTGGTACGTCCTCCCATTCTCGATACGATGCTGGAGGATTGAGCTGGACAGACTTGTACTGGAAGACGCGATGCTCTAGATTCATTAGGCCGCTCATACCAGACACAGGGCTTCATTTCCCATAGACTTACAGTTGCCCTATCAGATGAAGCATCATCGCTGAACTATGCGGTACTTAGTACTGAGCAGGCGCTCATTTAGGAGCTGCGACTTACATCGTCAGCCGCCATGACGGGGCCATTGTCAGGCACCGGCTCGTTTGTATTGTCCGCCATCATGAAATCAGTTTTGTGAGCCCTCGGTGTGTATCCGGAAGATTTACAACCCGCTCAGTAATTACAGCAAAGACAAAACGAGGAGCGCGACGGATACATGAACGATTTTATCGAATCTGTGGAACAAGAACTGCTACCCCTCTTCTGGAATGGAGACAATTATGCATGTTGGTGACAAGGATTATTGTTTGCTGTTGGAGCCTTCTTCCAACAGAACCAGGGTTTTGAACGTATCAGAATCAGCTGCCCATAGTTCTAAGACAAAAGCAGCAGGAGTGTACGACGTGGCGAATCAGTATTTTCTCTCGTTGGCCGGTTTATATCGAGTTGCAGATTCCACCTGACCAACCCGTGCCGCGGCCTTGAGCCGTTGCATTAGTTCGAGAGACAACAAACGACCCAATTTGTATGTCTTCATGAGCGACATGTGGACCTTCAAACTTCCAACACAGGGTCGTAACAGAGTCGCGAGGTTGAACGTTACTTGAAAATCTTCTTCCTCTGTCGTCTCTGGGGCATCTGGTATCAACTTCGTCAACATTCTTGAGTTCATCGCGGCCTGGTGCCCTCAACCATCAATCTTTATTCAACCTCTCAGGCTTGCGCGCATGTATCAACTGACTACTGATGGTCAGAAGAAGAAGTGAGAGCCCCCCCACCGGGTTAAATTTACTCACATGGGAATGTAGGCGTGTATATATCTGTTTCTCAGATCGTTACGCACGCCAACGAGAAACATATCGATCGCTTCCCGTGACCACTTGAGGGCCCTAGTGAAAGGCGCAAGTGTGAAGCCTTCAATCCCTTCCATGTAATTTTCATGGTTAAAATGGCCGAGCGTCTGATAATGCTCATCCTTGGGCCAAGTATTGAGAGGCCACTTGAACGTACTATACGTCACATTGACGTAGCCGATCTCTCTCATGACTTCCACGAGGGATAGCACATTTACGAAAGGGCGCCCCATGATATTGCACGCCTCTTCGATATAATCTGCCCATCTTGATAACGAGTGCTCTCGAGTTAGCGTCCCGTCGTCGGACAAGGGTCGGACATGACCTTCTTGCAATTCGAACCAACCCCCGGGCTCGAGATGGCTTATGGAGATTAGTAGATTACTTGCTTGAAGATGAGGAGGGCCCTTACTCGTATGTTTGCTGGAGGAGCTTCCTCCAGTCTGATATAGACGACGTCATTGCACGGCAGTGTATGTAATCGAACGGCTCACGGTATGTCCACGTCTCTTCTATATCGTCAACCTCAAATCTGATGTTGGGTGGGACACTAGATGATAATATCAGCATGCCAGAAAAGTTCTTTATGGGTTTTGATCCATACGCGGTCGTTTGTGTAGGCGAAAGATCTACGCCGTAGACCTGATTCTGAGTTCAGTTTTCGGAAAACTCGACTCCTTTCTGAATTGCTCACCACTGCTTCCGGGTGCTCATCAGCGAAGTCAATAGCCCAGATGCCCGTGCCGGTTCCCAGGTCAAGCACGCGATTGACCTTGGAACCTGGCTCATTCGGCGGAGCAAGCCCCAGTCTGTCGTTAAGAGTAAGGAGGAAGAGCTCGTGTTGGAAGTCTAGAGAAGAACGTTATATACGAACTGAGCTCAACTCGATGTTGCGATTTGGGAGTGTTTGGTGGCACATACCTAACCTATCCATCTCCCGCTCGTCATTAGGGTAGTTATATCCTGGTGTACATGGTTAGGCGACTAAAGAGAATAGGAATATCAGAATAACGTACTTCCCGCTTTGTATTTGTGGTAAGTTCTTCCATTCTCATGGCGATGTTGAAGGATCGAGCTCGATAAGCTGTGAGTTGAAGATGCGAGACTCTGCGGGAAACGGTTATGCGCTTGCTTCCTTTGTGGTGTCAAATACGAACTACTACTTACCGTCAACCTTTCCGATGCGTTGTCATCCGTAATCTGCGATTAAGTTTAGTATTGTTAGCTCGCGCAATGGCAAAACGGCACTCTCACTTCATCAACCACAATGACAGGCCCGTGGTTGACCGGAGGCCCGGATTGATTGTTGCACATTATAGTTGCTGAGTTTCGAAAGGCAGAATACTGACTGCATTACCCCTAGCTCTAGCAGATGAGATAACAGGAGGCGAGACCCAAATGGCTGCGAAGCATTTATCTGTGGTGGAAGAGGATTCCGCCCCTCTTCTTGGCCAGACATGGATTTGCGATGTTGGTGACAAGGTGCCAGGTTGGTGCGTGGGCACTGCTTGCTCCAACGGCACAGGAGCAGGCCGGGGTGGCCTTACGCACGTATCATGGCGGATACTACAGGGGAGGCAACGATTGATATGTATGGTAGCAGGTTGGTAGAAATCCTATCATATCCGAGTACCCAAGCCGTCGATGCCCCTCAGTAGATGATAGCTCTAGGCCGAGATCCTTCACCGTCCTGTGGGACTCACGATCGGTTGAGCGAAGACACAATATTGAGTGCAGCGAATCCATCAAAATTCCCATCGGCTCTACCTTCATCTATAAATGTGGACTTCTACCAGTCATGGAGTATGCCTTAAGGCCTGGTCACTCACAGCGCATTATGCGATCTCACTATCTATCGACAGCAATAATTTGATCCACATATGGCACGCGAAACGATGATGGTGAAAACAGTATGCAGCTTAAATTCCATTGTGACTGACAGGGAAAGCTGCCACCCCCATATATAGAAGAGAACATTGCAGCTTCTCACTCCTGCACAAGAAAGCATGCACCACCAAGCCAGTGCCTCGCTCTTACGACGCCGGCTCGGCTGTCTTCTCTTCAGGTTTCCTCCCGTAAATCGAGTAGCTTTACTCCGCATCAGTACCAAAGACCTCAAGTGGGAAGTGAAAACTTACATTGGCCAGTAGGCATGAATGTTCCGGTTCTTCATGTTAGTCCGTACCTCCGCCAGAAAGACGAGTACTTCCTCTTTCGTCCAGTTCAGCGCTCGGGTATAGGGCGCCAGCGTCCAACCCTCGAGGCCTTCCATACAGTTGGCATGTGTCCAAGACCCAAGCTCCTTGTAATGGGGGTCCTTGGGCCACTCATTGACAGGCCACTTGTACGTCTTGATAGTCACATCGACAAATCCGGCCTCCTCCATCAAGACTGCGAGGTTAGGAATATCCACGAAAGGGTGTCCGAAGATCTCCACGGCCTCGCCGAGTAGTTTCAGCCACTTCACCATTGCATGCTCTGGTTTGAGGGTGCCATCGTCGCAATGAGGATCGAGATCGGTCTCCTGGATTTCCAGATATCCGCCGACCTCCAAGTGCCTGCTAGAGTTAGCCTATGCCTGTCATGTCTTCTATCGAAACTCACTCGAAGGCTTGCTTGAAAAATCTGGGCCAATCGCATATACTCGAAGTCATCATCCTGGTATGGATGTAGTCGAAGGGTGTCGAATATGTCCACGGTTCTTCGATGTCGTCAACTTCGAACTTCACATTCGGAGGGAGGCTATGACGTGTGAGCTTCAGCATCTAGCAAAGGGTCACAACTTCAAGACGCACGCTGTTGACTGGACAGGCGATAGATCTACGCCGGAGACCTAATTGATCTCATTAGTTTCTACTACCTAGGATGATAATAGTGGCGCTTTCGCCTACGTACCTCCGCCTCGGGGTGCTCATCGGCGAACTCGATTGCCCAAAGACCGGTGCCTGTGCCGACATCGAGAACACGCTTGACACCAGAGTCCTTAGCATTGCAGGGAGCAAGACCAAGCTGGTAGTAAAAGGTGAGGAGGAAGAGATTGTGTTGCAAATCTGGACACAGAGTCAGACGGCTTGGCGATACGACAGAGAGATTGAAGAAACTCACCTAATCTGTCGGCTTCTTTCTCGTCGTTCGGATAACTGTACTCTACGCAAGTTAGTTTCCGCACTAGCAGAGCATCTGAGGCCTATATCGAGGGACTCACGGCCATCTTTGTACCTGTGGTAAGTCCTGCCGTTCTCAACTCTATGGTTGAAGATGGAGCTGCTCAAGCTGGTGGTGGATGATGCTAAGCTCTGAGCTGGTTGTGAGAAACGGTTCAGGTGCCGGTTTTGAACAATGAGAGTAGTGGCATACGGAAGCGCGGTCTGACGAGCTGTCATCCCAATCCTGTTCAAATTGTTAGGGCCTATTGTTCTACTGAAGCTGAGAACGTCTTACCCCCTCTTCAGCGGCAATCACAGGGCCTGTGGCGGCTGGACGATTAGCTTCGTCGTTACACATTGCGATGATCCACAGATATGCTGTCTGACAAGAGAAAGATCACGTTTGGACGACGTCGAAGAAACAAGTCATTATCAAATTTGGACTTGCGACTCTTTATGAATCTAGAAGGTGTGTGTTTTACCCCTCTCCTTGGCCAGGACTGAATGCAGTATAATTGCGGCACAGATGCAGCTCGCTCGTGGGAAACTGTTTGTCTGCTTCCTCAAGGCTCGTCACGTACGTAGCATTCCTGGGATGAAATCAATAGGCGGAATATACGATAAAATGCAGGGTATGTGGGCTTGGGGCGGATCAGAACTGGGGGTGAGTTCCCCTGTGATACCCAATAGTTCAGCCCGCCCAGCCGCGGAGATGAGCCGCTGCATGAGGTTGGTGAAGGGTCGATGCTGTGACAGGGGAGACTTTCGCATATTCTTGCTTCAGATCGTACGACTTGGCAGGCGACAGACTCATTGTCAAGCAGGAATTCGAAAACATCAGTGGAGAGCCGTCAACCGTGTTTTCTTCTCTCACGTGGTAACCTTTTGAGGTCCTAGTATGTGATCGAGCCCTACCGCAACGGCCTCGATGAACCCTTGGTGAAGATGTTACCGCCGCCAGGTCCTTGGGACGACAACGCTGAAGAAGTGACAGAACCGAGCATCTGTGGCTCCATCTCATTGGGTTTCGACACCAAATGATGTATCACTTTTCGTGGAGGTCTCGCCTCACTTCAAAATCAGTGATGGCAGGTCCAACAGACCGTTCAACGGTTCACTAACACATCTGAAAATAACATGATGCGGTTGAATCTGACCTGACCGGACCACGCTGGGAGTGGTTCGGGAGAGGGCTAACGGGGAGACGGTCGTTCATCCGGAGACCAACATCAGGAATGCGCGCTAAACTAGGCCCCGGACGGGAGGGTAAGGTGCGTTTGCTTCTAAAGGCTACCTAACAAGCCTCATACGGAACGTACCTGGGGCTGAGCAGGGCAAGAGGAAACAGTCTCTTTGCTCTGATCTCGTCCACCAATCAGCAGCTCCTTCCCCAACTTGTGTCTTGGGGTTCCCCGTGATCGAGAGCTCTGGATGAGTCAGCAGCGGAATAACTAATCATTTGGGTTTGACATGCCGCGGAAGGCTCCGCACTCGGTGTCTATCCTTACCTTCCGTTGCCGAGGTCCCAAGGTCCGACGCGCTACCACCGCCTGCCATCTGAGCTGCGCTTTGCCATGGCCGTTGCACAACAAGACATCGCACCAACCGGACTCTTTTTCGTTTCTTCTTCATCGTGTAACAAAAAGATTCAACATTCGTGCAACCTCCGATATCTTTGTGCAGCCAACGGATCCACCAAACGTCCATCGTCAGGGTCCCCAAACAATCAGCATCTATCGCCTTAATCTTGTGGAAACAGGGTCCCACACGTCATCATCTCAAACCACCTGTGATACCTTGTTCATTGTCTCTGTCCCATCCCTCATCACCCACATCTGGTCCCTGCAAACATGCCTATTCCCGAGTCCGAGTATTTGAGTCCGGTCTGGAAGGATGGCATCTTTAGTGAGTGACTTTCGCACATAGTGTTTTGTCTGCTGCCACCTTACCAGCACCGTCAATACTAACTCTCTTGTGCAGACAACAGAGTCGCCTTTGTCACCGGCGGCGCTGGAAGCATTTGCAGTGCTCAAACTCGCGCTCTTGTCCGCCTAGGAGCAAATGCCTGCATCATCGGCCGCAATGTCGAAAAGACAGAGTCCATGGCAAAGGACATAGCCACAGCCAGGCCTGGTGCAAAGGTCATTGGTATCGGCGGCTGTGATGTTAGAAATGTATGTGCTCATCCACACGCATTCCTTCAAGACATGTTGCGGCTAACAATTTATATCTAGCCCCAAAGCCTGCAAGACGCCGCAGATCGATGCGCCAAGGAGCTCGGCGGCATCGACTTTGTCATGTAAGCGCCCGATTCACAAGGATCTCATCCTGGGGTAGACTGCTGACAACCTTATTACCAACAGTGCGGGAGCTGCTGGCAACTTCATCGCACCCTTGTCCGGCATGAGCCCCAATGCATTCAAGGCGGTCATCGATATTGATGTCTTGGGCACTTTCAACACTGTGAAGGCTACCATTCCCTACCTGGTAGAGTCGGCAAAGAAGAATCCCACGCCCAGCCAAAACGGCCTGACCGGAGGCCGCATCATTTTCGTTTCTGCCACATTCCACTGGACAGGTATGCCGCTGCAAGCACATGTCTCAGCCGCCAAAGCGGCCGTCGATGCTCTCATGGCCTCGGTGACGTTGGAGTATGGCCCGTTCGGAGTCACAAGCAATGTGATTGCCCCCGGGCCGATCAAGGATACGGAGGGCATGCAACGGCTGTCCAGCAGCAAGCAGGACCAGGCCAAGGCCAACGCCGTGGTGCCGCAGGGTCGGTGGGGCGTCATCCGGGACATTGCCGATTCCACCGTCTACCTCTTCAGCGACGCCGGCAGCTTCGTCAACGGTCAAGCAATCCCTGTTGACGGCGGTGCTTGGAGACGCCAGGGTGCACTAGCGGTTGGAACAGACGACGACATGCAATACCCGGATTTCCTTCTGAAGGGAGAAATCTCAAAGCACGTAAAGAGCGGCCGAAAGACGGAGTCGAAGTTGTAATCGACATCGAGAAATCAGCCGTGGTGGGGTAGGGAGGATCACCTCCAGCAAGTCCGCGGACAAAGGAATTCCATCGACCGGGGGTGGAGAGATTGTAAGTTGACATCGTAAGGGCGTGGCTGTTGACCCGCTCAGCTTGTTAGATATATTGAAGAACCGTAGGAAATGGCACTGTATTGAACGAATCATAGTCTTTTACAGAAATGTCCCGGATCTTTTGACATTTTGTACAATCCTACCTCACGTTTTATCAATCAGAACCTCCAATCCTTGAGCAAAGCGGCTATCGGCACCACAATTCTACTCAGGCTACTTAGATTTATATCTCCCAGCCGCCGACAGGCCGAGCCGCCCCGCGGACGGGAGCGGAGATGCTTGCTGCTGCAAAGCTGCCCCCGAACACACTTTTTTTCTTACCGGGTCGGTCACCAAGCCAACTAATTAGCGTCTTCCAAAGACCGGACAGGGTGCGGCGCACTCAAGCTTTTCGAGCCAAGCCGGCATCCACATCCCTCGACCTGCAGGTGATAGCTTACCATTGGCGGAGCCTTCAGGAACAGCTTGACTAATTGGCCACACGAATTGCTACGCAGACGTGAGTGGCATGGTGGTGGCATCCATCCATTCCCGCCATTGCCCGCCATGCGGATAAGCAGCAAGACTCACCCGCTCGCGCCGCCCACGGTTGCAGTGAAATCGTACTTTTTGACTGCAGAGTGATAGGACCTGGCCCGGTGGATGCTGATCCATGGGTCTAGTGCGTTTTTATTTGAACCCTTCTCTTGTTACCCCTCCTTTATCGCCAACCATCGACTGGCCCAGAGCAATGAAGCGGGTCGAACCATGCTAGGGATTGGGGAGGAGGCATGGAACATTTGTCGCTGAACCATGTGTGGGCTGCAGGATTTCTTTGAAGGTGACTCTAACTTCTTGAAGCGTCGAAAAGTCCGACTGTCGGTTGTGACATAAAAGGGCCGGCGGTACCCGGCTGCGCGAGGGGACTGGAGAAGACTCCCGATCGTCTTAGTCTCTTCAATTCTCGTGAGGTTTATCTGAACTGCTGACGGGCCGTTAATTCTATTGCTTTTTCTTCTTTACAGGAATTGCAACCCGGCTTTAAGCTTATCTCACCGGCCGTTTTCACACTTCGGCAGGTACTCGACTTGTGTGCAGCAAGTTGCTGGTAGTTCAATTGGTTAATATCGAGTAAGTGGAGGGCTCTACTTGATGTTTTCATGCATACATCAACTCTTATAGCCAGTGGACATCAGTATCACCAGTCGAGCTAACACCCTCACAGAGTCCAACAACACATCGCAAACATGGGACTCAAGCACCTCCTGGCAATGGGCCTGCCCATCATGCCCGCGGCCGCAGAGACCGTCCTCGGCATCTACGTCTTCCACCGCCACGGCGACCGCACAGCCAAGAAGACGCCCCCCGTCCGCTTCACCGACCTCGGCGCCTACGAGGTCTACACCTCCGGCCTGGAATACGGCCGGCTCTACGTACGCGAAAACGCCACCCACCAGATCCGCAACATGAGCACCGACGACGTCCTCCCGGAGCAGCTCTCCGTCACCTCCCCCACCGACGTCGTCCTGCAGTCCTCGGCCAACGCCTTCCTCCAGGGCTTCTACCCGCCCTCCGGCACCGTCGAGGCCCTCGCCAACGGCTCCAGCGTCGAGGCGCCCCTCGGCGGATACCAGTACATCCCCGTCAACGCCGTCGCTACGGCCTCCACCAGCACAAACGCCGAGAGCAGCGAGTGGCTCCAGGGCGGCAGCGGCTGCGGCAAAGCCGTCGTCAGCTCCAACAACTACTTCTCCTCGCCCGAGTACGCCGCCGTCGACGCCGAGTCCCGCGATTTCTACCAGAGCCTGCTGCCCGTCATCAACGGCACGTTCGGCGCAAAGGCCGCCACCTTTGAGAACGCCTACTCCATCTTCGACCTCATCAACGTCGCCAGGATCCACAACGACAGCATCCCCTCCGACTCCCTCCTCACCAACGCCACCATCCGCTCGCTGACCGACTACGCCAACATCCACGAGTGGAACCTCGCCTACAACGAGAGCGACCCCATCCGCGCCATCGCCGGCAAGGTGCTGGCCGGCCAGGTCCTCCAGGCCCTCAACGCGACGCTCAAGGACGCCGCCAAATCTTCCTCCGTCAAGGCCAACATCCAGTTCGGCGCCTACGCCAGCTTCTCGTCCTTCTTCGGCCTCGCCCAACTGCAAAAGGTCTCGACCGACTTCCAGACTGTCGTCGACTACGCCTCCTCCATGGTCTTTGAGCTCGTCACCAACGCCACCTCCGCCAGCCCCGCCGCCGACGACGTCGCTGTCCGCTTCCGCTTCGCAAACGGCTCCGCCGGCATCAACAACCTCACTGTCTACCCGCTCTTTGGACAGTCCGAAACCGTGCTGCCCTGGAACACTTTCGTCACCCAGATGCGCCAGTTCGCTATCGAGGATACTAAGACCTGGTGCACAGCCTGCGGCAACTCGACCGGCACCTGCGCTACGGCCCTGGGTCTGGATGGCAGCACCGATGCCAACGGAACCGGCTCAAGCGGTAGCAAGGGAGGGGTCTCGACTCCCGTGGCGGGCGTCATCGGCGCGCTGGTGACGCTGGTCGTGATTCTGGGCATCCTCGGCCTCGTCATGCTCATCGGTGGCCTGCGTCTGGTCAAGAAGTCCAAGATCGCAAAGGATGTCCCTGCCGCTTCTACTGCGGAGCAGACAGGCGGTGCCAAGCACTAAGCACGTAATGTAAGAAACGATTGTGTGAGACCAAGTGTTCACGATGGATTTGTGATCGATAATGAGACACGATGAATGTATCGTGAATAGTAGTCCCAAGCGGACATGAGCTACCTTAGTAATAAGATGTTGATACCACCCTTTTACTCAAGAGACTACCCATATTCCTTGCCCTGTGATGAATATGCTCTGCGTAGAGAGGGCGACCCAAGGAATTCGTCCCATATCACAGTGTCTAAGAGCGCCAGAACCTCCTCTGAGCCCGCGGCTTCATCGCCATGGTCACCGTTCCAAGCGACTATGTTCTATCTACGGATATTCTAGGGACTCGTAAATGCGAGAGGTGTTGTTGGTTGTCCGCTGCCCTCATCCGATCTACCCAATTCCTTCGAAGAAGACCCTCCCACCCTAATGGGATAGCCTACGCCCTTAAGTCTCTCAACTCGACCAAGCTTGGGTTGTCATCTCTGTCAGCTTCAGTCGGATCGGAGCTAGATAGTGTGGTTCCACGCGTTCTCCTATCGTTAGATCGAGCAGATCGCTCCCTGGTAATATCTGGTGATGCGATGTCCGCGTCTAAAGTTTCTATTTCTTGGACGGTAGGGAAACCTCGACGTGAGCAGCAAGTGCGCTAGCTTGCTACTGAAGTCTCGTTCATGCCGTAGATTACGGCGTCGACAAGCCCCTGGATCACGATGCAAGCCTGATCGACGTTTTGCAATGGGAAAGGTGCTGGCGTATTCGTACTTGCTTGGTATATCCGGATGGCAGTTGGGATAGTCCAGACGATGGCATACGCAAGCGGATACAAAAGCAACAGGCGAGCAATCTGGAGCACGGTCAGTCATTACCTCTTCGCTGCCCTGAGCATCGTCTCTTCTTGCCCTTTTGAGCCTTCTGATGGAAATCATAGATTGGCCTTCCAGTCCTTCGTGAGTGCTTGCGGCCCTGCTCCCATCTTGTGTCGAGTAACCGGACTCCAGATGCCCGGGAGACTCCTGCATCGAACTTAACCTGTTCTGAGCTCTGAAAAGAACAAGGGCGAGGTATGCGTATAGCACAAACATGATGGTTATGATTATCCCTAAGGGCATATTAGTCGTAGATCTAACGTTGGGTATATCGTGTGTAACTCACATCGAGGAACGAAGTTGGCGAGCAGCCTCGTCTTGTCTGACTTGAACCAGCACCCTGCCCGCCTAGGTCAATGACACGAAAGTGCTTTGACTTGGTCACGAATACTCACAAGCCCCGATGCTGTGGTAGCCATTCAAACTGAGGCCCACAGAAGCCCATAAGACCGAGAAGAACCACGGAAGTCCCCAAATGACGACTTCGTGGTTCTGCACCCAGCTGGCTCGCTTTCTTTGGCCAGTCAGGATGAAGAACGTGCAAATGGCGATGTTGAGGACCCAATAGTCGGTTTGAATGACGAATACCTGAGCCATGAAGCCGTTGAGCTTACAAAAGTCGGTTTGTTCTGGATCATCGATAAGTCTGCCGCCAAGATTCATCGTTGTCGAGCAGATGAAGTTGAAAGCCATGAGAAAGTCACTGATCGCAAGTCCGATGATAAGGCGATGACGGAAGGATCGCAGGTTTGGGAAGATCTGAAGTGCTTGTCAGCTTTCTGGACATTGCTAAGTGATTCGGAGTGGGGGTTGACCCAATAGCTGGCCATGATGAAGCCGGCACCACAAAGCGACAAAATTGATACAACAAGTATAACAACGCTCTCTATACGAACCTCCTCTAAGGTAGGAGGTTGGTCTAGTCCGCTTCCATTGCTTGTATTGTTTTGGAGAAACATGACGACATGTAAGTACTTGTGAGTGCGCACCGCCGTAGTCTGTCTGCCTTGCACAGGTGGTGAGATGGGGTCTCTATTGCTGATGTGGTCGAAGCTGGAGTCGTGCGGCTGTACGCCAGGGCTTCTTTACGTTTGGCGATGATGTCTGGCTTTTCTCGTCTGACGTCTTCATTTGGAATGTTTACTTGACGTTGTTTTAGCAATTTTGGCTTCCGAACCGATGGTGAATGTGAAGGTAGCCATATCTTCGGATAAGAAATCCAGGCAAATGGCAGCTTCGACAGCAGAGGAAGCAGCCACTAATTCCTCCAGCGATGGAAGGCGAGCTTATCGCCGCGATCTTGCTGTGTGTGCTACCTTCCCATGAGGTACACACGGAAGGCCACATGGTGTCTGTCGTGGGGGTCCTCGGGGTCGGACGGCAGGGAGAATTGTTCGACATCGCAGAGATCGTGGTTTCAGGGGTAGCGACATCGGTATCACCACAAAACCTAGGCAGGTAGAGATTCGTTATCACGCATACAAACATGAAAGGATCTGTGGCCGAGAAAGTAAAGACGAGCAAAGAGAAGAAGAACAACAGGTGAGAGTTCTCATGCAAGCGTGTGTCATCCGGCGTGGTCTTGTATGACTTCATGTTCGCCATAACGGCAGCTGTCACTTGCCCAATAATTGAGAGAACAAACCTGGTGACTGGCCAGCAGCTCACAAGATATCAAGTACGCGGGGGACTGACATCGTCGGACACTTGCAGATGCGTAATCTGGCAGGGGTTCCAAGTGCTACTCGTCTATTGGCAGGAATGCTCAGTATTCAAGTAGGTATCCAAGATACTCTCCATCGAGGCCTTCCTTAAGAAGTACCCAGTACGTGTACGTGGGAGACTTGTTGTCCCTTCTTCAAACGCGCCTTCAGTATGAATACTTGCACAGATGGGTAGGTGCTACGCAAAATCGGGAATACCTTCCTCCACTTACGTATCTAGAGAAATTGTATTGCACGCAAGTGTCGCATCAACAGTCGCCCTGCCGGTTCGTCACACCCAACTGCCGATATCTCACCTTAATTCAGGATCAGTCGAGGCCAATGGTCCACCAACATGTCCGTCTCAAAGCCGGATATTCCCATTGCTGCAAAACACCCGCTACCTAGGTGCTTCCAGGGTTCGATCTTGGTTAGTCTAACGGTCGTACTATTTACATGGATACAGTCCTAGCGGCGTGGACCCTCCACCGGCTGCCCATTTCTCCTGAACATCTCGTCTCGGAAATTTTGGACCTCGACTCGATTATTCTGAACACCTCTTTTCGTCTCGACTTGGACGATCAAGGACATCTCCGGCTGGGCGTAGGCCTTCACCAGCTGAATCTAGAGCTCTTTGGGAATATTCACAGCAGTTTTTAGGCTGTTTTCTGGATCCCGATAACTGAGCCCCGACCCTATGTCAAAGCGATGCAATCTCCCACTTCCACTAGTGCCGCTCCGCTCCATCGATCGGCGGTCGAGAACCTGAGATTTGACAGCAGACTTGTCATGTTGCATGTCTGTCACCAATGTCGGCCGCCAGTGTAGCAAAGCGGAGGTTCACTAACTCTGACATTTACTCTGGGTCCGATGTGGCACCCGGTACCCTGGTTCTGGGTAAGGGGCTTGCTGACCATGCACCACTGAAGAAAAATACAACCGTCTTCTTTGATCCTCGACACAGCAGCCCCCTCTAGGCTCTGACCCCGTCTAATTAAGGTCCGAAGCCCGGAGCAGCGGCTCCTAGCACATCCTGGGGCCTGGATGGTGGGCGACCGGTCCTTGAAGCGCACGTTGCGAAACCGAACGTCCGCCGGCCGACCTAGAAACCCGAGGAGGTCGGCTTATTGACTTCCTGAGTTCCTGATGTTTCTTTGCCCCTTGGGCCGTTGCCGAAAGTTTGCGGGGGAGGTTGTCGGCATGGTGCCATCGGCCGACCTTCACCACGATCCCGGCTACTAATTCTGGAAGAAGAAATCGCAACCATCCGGCGCAAACATCCCGACCTGACATCATTCGGCTGACTCGCTAGCATCATACGAGCAAGTGTCCTACCGCAGCCTCCACTACACCGTTTTGACAGGTGCGAACCGTCGTGATCGGCTCAGTGCCAGGACGAGGGGATGACAAGGCGGCGGAGACATCTAGGATAAGGCCGGCAGTTTACCCCGGCACCGAGTCTCCACGGGAAATTGAGATAAATGGGGGGACAATGTCGCCCTCAAATCACTTCCTAGGTTTTTCCCCCGCCAGAAGGGCCAAAGCGGACAACAAGGGTTCTTCCAAAGGCAAAACGGCAGAAATGGCCAGATGGCAGAGGAAGGTTTCGGGGGACAAGGACGGGGTGTTGGCTGAACTTCTTGATCCGCTCAACTCGGCTGGTGCGACAGCAACATACGATATCCCACTGGGTTAAACGACCAGCAACCCCGACATGGAATCGGCACCCTCCGTCGGCCATTGGCCTCGGGGTAAACGGGAACCTTCGCAACGTGTCGCCGGGGTGGTTGCCAGCAACGGGTCCGGAGAGCCGGGTCGATCAAATGCAAGCCCAGGGACGCCCATGGACAGTTGCGTAGGGCAGCAGCATCAGACCACTATACCGTATCGGCAATGCGACGTCGCTTGCGGACCCGGAGACGGCGCCGTTTTGGGACTTTGCTTCACATCACAAATGCTAGCGGCCACCCTTTCGGTCCCGAGACCACGGACCGGCCCAGAACACACTGAACATAGCCCACCAGATGTAACATTGTTTGAATAACCGACTTGGACAATGTGTCGTTCTATGTATTCAAACTCGTACCTGGAGGGTCATGAGCAGGGTCGGGGCTTGAACAAGAGATTGGCATGGAGCTCCAGATGCCACATTCGGCGCAAATACTGCTCGTGAGGGCTCGCGTAGCGTGCCTCCCCAGGTCTCTCTGTCAAACTTAGACCCAGTCCGACCCGCTGCCTTCCACAATTGAACCCCCGTCCGTTGAATCTCGAAGCCGACGTCACGATGCATGCTTATTAGACTTGAGGCACGAGTCGGTGTACTTGATCGACATCTAGCACTAACAGAGACTTTCTCGTACGACTCAGTGCGGCGTATCGTATTATATCTCTTTGCGGAACTGATCGACTTTGAAGGAGCTTTACCGCCGTTTAGGATTTCAGCGACTTCCTAAGAATTGACCAAACCTAGAAGCCCCACGGCGGAACAAACACAATCTTACAGTCAAGCTGGATGACAGGCTGAGTCACCTGCGTGGTTGATCTGCAAAATGACGCCCGCGAAGGGGCCGGACTTGCCATGAGAATGACGGGATACCAAAGAGTCGGTCCTCCTCGAAGTATGAAGTGTGGCGCCTATAGCTGGCGAAGAGTGCTCGTGGCGAGCGAGCGAGCTCAAGATGGGTTTGAGAAGTTTCTTACTGGTCAGCGAAGTTACGTTGAGTTGCTCACTTCGCATAGTATTCAAGCACAGAACCTCATGCCTTAAAACGCCTCCTCGACACGACCGTATGCAGTATCTCCACACCGGAATGGCCACATCGCCAGCTGATCGAGCTTCCTGTATGCACACAGTCTCGCATTGCCTCAAGGCATAGTGCTGAGACCATTACGATCCTACCAAGAATAACGTAAATAAGGCTCCGACACTATCACAAGAGCAGACCGGAGTGGAGGGCGGGGGCCATGTAGCAGTCGAGGGAGCACCCGTACGACACGAAGCTTAGCGAGTAATCCTCCTTTTGTGTGTATCAAAGCGTCTGACTGCATGAGGAATTACAGATATTATGGGACATAGACACCCAGTCGAGGAGGGCGCGGTAGCCGTCTCCACCCGGGGGGCTGCAAGCCATCAACGACCCGTACATGGATGCTGACACCACTCTGTCTGTCGCCTTATCGTCCGCGGGAGCTATGGACACGATCGCCGAGCTATATCTACGTGGTCAGAGAACTCTGCGAATCATCACTTGCTTCATGGGAGCATGGAAGAGGTTGAGCTGGGGCCAGAGATGATCCATAGCTTCTGCAACCCAGTCAGCCTGCAAAACATGGCATCTATTGGCACTCGTGCCGCCCACGAAGATCCACGAGAGACAACAGATGAGGGGTTATAGAGCCAACAAAATGTAAAAGTGGGAAGCGAGGGGTGCTCAAAACAGGCCAGAAACATGGGGACCAGGCAGGGCAACAGCGGCTCGCATGAAGCAAAAAAGAAAAGAAGAAACCATTGTTTGTGGAGAGGGTATATCGCGGCTCTGTTATACACCCTTAGCTTTTTTTTTGTGCGGTGGGCGCGCGCGCGCGGATGCCTGCGTCGCTTCTTTTACCCTCGAACCCGCCGCAGCCCGGCGCCCGGTCCGCACCGGGCGATGCGATGAGGGAACAACGACGGTAAGTATTTGGCATTTCAGCTCAGCAAGTATGGAGTAGCTTGCAGGATCTCATGACGAAACCCCTCCATGCTCCAGCCAACGAACGCATCCTACACCGGTAGCGGCCCGTGTGAGTGTGTGTATAATACGCAATAGCGCTGTCAAATAAGTCAGCTTCACTCTGTATCGGCCAAGGAGGGTGGGAACTTTAGTTCTGTGCGCAATGGAATGATGACCAAATACGTGGTGATCAGCTATGCCGTGGTGAAGGAAGAGGCGCATGGCTGTCAGGTTGACACTTCAATAGTTGACGGCATCGCACGACAGAAAGAGAAACATTCGGCTGGGACGGGATCAGGTTGTGACACATGCTTGGTCACCACAAACTGTGGTACCATTAGTTTTCTCTTCATTCCATGCTTCATGTAGCAGCATTGTGTGTACAGACAGTATTCTCTACCATCAACTTAGATCTTCTCTGCCCCGTCCGTCCACTTTGTTTCTCCCAAATACTTCTTCCCAATGTTTGTGCGCCAGTTCCCAATGCCCAGAGAAGGGGGGAAAGAAAATACGAAAACGCCACAGATCAGATCAGACCGCAAC